TTTGCAGGCCAGAAAGCACGATACATTCAAAGTGCTGAAAGAAGAAAACTTCCAACCAAGAATACTCTACCGAGCAAAGTTTTCATTCAGAATTGAAGAAGAGATAACAAGTTTTCCAGAGAAGCAAAAGTTAAAGGAGTTCACCACCACTAAACTAAACTGGCCTGACAACAAATTTTAAAGGAACTTCTTTAAGCTGAAAGAAAGGATGCTAATTAGTAACAAGAACACATATGAAAGGATAAATCTCACCGGAAAAATAAATATATAGTGAAGGTAGTGGATTAATCACTAATAAAGCTAGTATAAAGGTTAAAAGACAGAACTATGATTACAATAATTAGCTAAAAGATACACAAGGTAAAAATACATAAAATGTGACATCAAAAACATAAAACATGAGAGTAAGTGTTGAGCTTTAGAATGGGATCAAACTTAAGATGCTATCAGCTTAAAACAGACTGTTATAGATATAAGTTGTTAAGTGTAAGACTCACGTCAACCACAAAGCAAAAACCTAGAATAAATACACAAAAGAGAAAAAGAAAGGAACATAAGCATACCACTAAAGAAAGTCATCAAACCACAAAGGAAGAGAGCAAGAGAAGAAAAAAGGAACAGAGAGAAACTGCAAAAACTGCTAGAAAACAATTAACAAAATGGCAATAAGCACATACCCATTAATAATAACTTTAAATGTAAATGGACTAAATTCTCCAACAAAAAGACATAGAGTGGCTGAAGAAATAAAAAGCAAGACACACCTATATATGCTGCCTGTAATAGATACCATTTCGATATAAGGACACAGACTGAAAGTGAAGGGATGGTAAAAGAGATTCCACGCAAATGGAAACGGAAAAGAAAGGTGGAGTAGCTATACTTATATCACACACACACAAAAAAGACTTTAATACAAATGCTTTAATAAGAGACAAAGAAGACATTACATAATGATAAAGGAGTTAATCCAATTAGAGGATATAACATTTGTAAATCTTTATGCAGCCAACATAGGAGCACCTAAACATGTAGCACAATTATTAACAGACCTAAAGGGAGACATAGACAGCAATACAATAACAGTAGGGAACTTTAATATCCCACTTACATCAATGGAAAGATCATCCAGACAGAAAATCAATAAGGAGACATCAGCCTTAAACAACATGTTAAACCAGATGGACTTAACGCATATTTATAGACTATTCTATCCAAAAGCAACAGAATACATATTCTTCTCAAGTGTATATGGAACATCTTCCAAGATAGATCATATGTTAGGCCACAGATCAAGTCTTAATAAATTTAAGAAGACTGCAATCATATCAAGCATCTTTTCCAACCACAATGGCATGAAATGAGAAATTACACGAAGAAAAATGGGAAATATACAAATATGTGGAGATTAAACAACATGCTACTGAATAACCAATAGGCAAAGAAGAAATCAAAAGAGAAATTAAAAAATACCTTGAGAAAAACAAAATGGAAAGGTAACATGCCAAAATTTACAGAATGCAGCAAAAACAGTTCTATGAGGGAAGTGCATAGTGATAAACACCTACCTCTAGAAACAAGAAAAGCCTCAGACAAACAACCTAACTACACCTTAAGGAACTAGAAAAAGAACAAAAAGACCAAAGTTAGTAAATTAGGGCAGAAATAAATGAAATAGAGACTAAAAAGACAACAGAAAAGATCAATGAAACTAAGAGTTAGTTCTGTGAAAAGAGAAATAAAATTGACAAAACCTCAGCTAGACTCACCAAGAAAATAAAGAGAAAAGACTCAAGTAAGTCAGAAATGAAAAAGGAGATATTACAAGCAACACCACAGAAATACAAAGGATCATACAGACTACTATGAAAAATTACATGCCAACAAATTGGACAAACTAGAAGTGGATAAACTCTGACAAACGTATAAGCTACTAAGACTGAATCATGACGAAATAGAAAATCTGAACAGACCACTTACCAGCAAGCAGATCAATTCATTAAACAAAAACTCTCAACAAACAAAAGTCCAGGACCAAATGGCTTCACTGGTGAATTCCACCAAACATTCAAAGAAGAATTAATATGAAGCTTTTTCAAATTCTTCCAAAAAATATAAGAGGGGGAATCTTTTCAAAACACATTTTATGAGGCCAGTATTAGCCTGATACCAAAACCAGACAAGAGTGCCACCAAACAAAAAAAATTTCTTTTTACAGGCTAATATCCCTGATGAACATAGATGCAAAAATTCTAACAAAATATTATCAAACTGAATTCAGCAACACATTGAAAGGATCATATACAATCATGAAGTGAAATTTATTCTAAGGATACAGGGATGGTCCAATATCTGTAAATCAGTCAGTGTGATACACCTCATTAACAAAATGAAGACAAAAATCATATGATCATCTCAACAGATGCATAAAAAGCATTTGACAAAATTTAAATCCATTTATAATAAAATCTCAAATCTCTCAAAAAAGCAGGTATAGAGGAAACATACCTCAACATAGTTAAGGTCATATATGACAAGCCTACAGCTAAATCATACTCAATGTTGAAAAGCTCAAAGCTTTTCCTCTAAGGTCAGGAACAGGACAAGGATGTCCACTCTTACCACTTTTATTCAACATAGTATTGGAAATACCAGCCAGAATAGTTAGGCAAGAAAAAGAAATAAAAGGCATCCAAATTGAAAAGGCAGAAGTAAAACTCACTGTTTGCAGATCACATGAAAATAGCTAGGAAACCCTAAAGACTCTATCACAAACTAACAGAACTAATAAATGAATTCAATAAAGTTACTGGATACGATATGAATACACAAAAATCTATTTTTTAAATAATAACTAACTATCAAAAAGAGAAATTAAGAAAACAATCCCATATACAACTGCATCAAAAAGAATAAAATACCTAGGAATAAATTTAACCAAGGAGGTGAAAGATCTGTATACTGAAAACTACGAGACATTAATGAAAGAAACTGAAAAAGACACAAATAAGTGGAAAGATATTCTATGCTCATGGATTGAGAGAATCAATATTGTTAAAACTGCCATACTATCCAAAGCAATCTACAGATTCAATGCAATCCCTATCAAAATTCCAATGGCATTTCTCATACAAATAAAACAAAAAATCCTAAAACTTGCATGGAACTGAATAACCAAAGCAATCTTGAGAAAGAAGAACAAAGCTGGAGGCACCACACTCTCTAACTTCAAAGTATATTATAAGGCTATTATTACATACAAATGGTACTGTATTGGCATAAAAACAGAGACTTAGATCGATAGAACAGAACAGAGAATAGAGATCGCAGAAATAAACCCACACATATATGGTCAATTAATTTATGACAAATAAACCAAGAATATACGATGGGGAAAGGACAGTTTCTTCAATAAATGATGTTGGGAAAACTGGACAGCCACATGCAAGTGAATGAAGCTGGACTACTATCTTACACCATTCACAAAAATTAACTCAAAATGGATTAAAGACTTGAACATAAGACCTGAAACCATAAAACTCCTAGAAGAAAACATAGGCAGTAAGCTCCTTGATATAGGTCTTAGTGATGATATTTTGAATCTGCACCAAAAGCAAAAGCAAAAAAAGTAAAAGCAGCAAAAGCAAAACTACATAAGGGGGACTACATCAAGCTAAAAAGCTTCTACACAGCAAAGTAAATCATCAACAACATGAAAAGGCAACTTATTGAATGGGAGAAAATAACTGCACATCATGTATCTGACAAGGGGCTGATATTCAAAATATACAAAGAACTTTTACAATTCAATAGCAAAAAAACAAACTATCCACTGAAAAAATGGACAGAAGATCCAAACAGACATTTTTCCAAAGAAGACATACAGATGACTAACAGGTACATGAAAAAGATGGTCAACATCACTAATCATCAGGGAAATGCATATCAAAACCACAGAGATATCAACTCACACCTTGCAGAATGGCTAGTATCAAAAAGACAACAAATAACAAGCGTTGGCAAGGGTGTGGACAAAAGGGAACCCTTGTACACTTGGTTGAGAATGTTAAGTTGGTGCAACCATTATGGAAAATAGTATGGAGATGCCTCAAAAAATTAAAAATAGAACTACCATATGATCCAGTAATTCCACTCTGGGTATTTATCTGAAGAAAACAAAAAAAAAATTAATTCAAAAAGATATATGCACCCCCCTGTTCACTGCAGCTTCATTTACAATAACAAAGATACTTAGAAACAACCTAAGTATCTATTGATGAATGAATGGATAAGGAAACTGTGGGGGGGTTCCCTGGTGGCGCAGTGGTTGAGAGTCTGCCTGCCAGTGCAGGGGACACGGGTTTGAGCCCTGGTCTGGGAAGATCCCACATGCCATGGAGCAACTGGGCCCGTGAGCCACAACTACTGAGCCTGCGCGTCTGGAGCCTGTGCTCCGCAACAAGAGAGGCCGCGACAGTGAGAGGCCCGCACACCGTGATGAAGAGTGGCTCCCGCTTGCCGCAACTAGAGAAAGCCCTCGCACAGAAACAAAGACCCAACACAGCCAAAAATAAAATAAATAAATAAATTTATTTAAAAAAAAAAAGAAACTGTGGTACACATACACATGTATAAAGAATATTATTCAGCCATAAAAAAAAAGTTGCCATATGCCACAGCATGGATAGACCTTGAAGGCATTATGCTAACTGAAATAATTCAGACAAAGAAAGACAAATATTGTATGATCTCCCTTACATGTAGAATCCACAGAAACAAACAAAAAATAAGCTCATAGATATAGAGAACAGATTGGTGGCTGCAAGAGACAAGGCTTGGATCAGGGGATGGGAGAAATGGGTGAACTGTGTTTTGTTTTGTTTTAAATAAATTGAATTCAAAATTTTTTAAATGCTTTCTTCAACAAATATTTAAGAAACATATTTATTATAAAAGGTGAGGTGAAAATATCAAAAAGAGTAGCAAATCATCTGCTTTACCTCTTTGTGTTTCATATCCACCTGACTCCTGAGAGCCTTCAGTTCCCGTTCACGGTTGTCCAAGCAAGTTTCTAGAACATGTGTCTGTCCTTCCCACTCAGATTTTTTATGAGCTACCATTATGTCAATCTGTTTCATGAGCTCCTGTAGTTCTGCTTCACAGGATGTCAAAAATCCCCTATAAATAAGGACAGACCCTTAAGAACATAGAACATATCTCCAAGTGGCTTTTCATCTTTCACATGTAAAAATATAGCAGATGTAAAGCTACCTGACGTGGAACAAATAATCAGAAGCAGAGAACAGGATCTCTGAGCTTTTCCTTTTAATGCTCACATAAGATGATCACTTATTCCACGGAAGTCTGTCTTCCTCCAGTAGCCAACCTAAAGCCTAAGTCAACTAGTCAAACGCAAGGTTTATGTTTGAAGTCTGGTTTGTGAGTGAGACTTCCACAACCAACAACTACCTCTTCTGTAACATTTTAGGGAAGCTTTCAGGAAGAATCCAGGCAAGCATATGTCACATTCTCAGCTAGTCAAACAAAATAAAAAGCTTTGGAAACAAGTAGGCTATTGGGAAAATGACAATACAATTTTAAGAGCTGTTTTAAGAACCTCCATCCTTGAGCCAAATTTATTCCAACTATTTCTTTCCAACTTATTATTAGAAACTTACCGCATCCTATCTTATTGTTGTAAACTTACTGATGTCCTTCAATGTTTCTGGAGATGCCAAATGTCACAAAGGTAGAAACAGAAGTGGACACAGATGTATTGGATTCAGAGATTTCCGGGAATGGCCACAGAGAGATAACTCCTAAGGCTTAAATACTTTAAAAAAAAAAAGCATTTGTTCTTAGTGTCACAAAACCTCTATAGCCTTTTGCTTTTTAAAAGCAGAAAATTTAACTGGGATGATAGTAAGCATCCAGCTTCACACTGCTGAGATGAGGGAAACACCCCAAGGAGAGAGACTGTCCACAAACACGACATGGATCAGCTTAGATTTTGGTCACACTTCTGCTTCTGTACCCAAAGCACAAAATGGTCAGAGGCATAACAGACATGCTTTTTCAACTCAGTGAGAAGCTTAAGGTCAAAGCAAACTTACCCATCATGTCCCCGATTTTGTATTCCTTCCAACAAAGCCTCCATCGCCAAATCCCCTTTGTTTTGGCAACTGGGAAAGCAAAGAACTCTGTCAGGAGAAAATTCATTTTTTATGTTCTAACATTCCAACTTACAAACTTAAGAATGTGAATGAAAGCATACAAATAACAATGAGAAAATGCAGCACTTCTTAAGATGACTGTAGAAGCAGTCAAGAAATATCTCTTCAAGAAATACTAGAACCAAATACATTTCAGACTAAAACAAAACAATTTAAAATGATCTGAATTGCCACTGACACTCCCCCTGCACGATTGAAATCAAATACCTCACTGTCACGTCCCTACTTCCTCATGTAAGAGTGGGCCTGGGTGGAGATGGGGTGCTAGCAACAGAGGAACAGTGACACTAACAAATTGAGAGGTCAGAGGAAACGTGTAGCTTCTTTTAAAGAGATATTGTAAAAAGGTTAAATGCCCTGCGCTTCAACTTCTTGGCCCATCACGGGAGATCCTACTCACCGGCTAGATGACAGGCCCATGAAGCTCCTAGAACACCCTCCCTCACCTAAGAGGCAGCTACGTGGGCCCTCCCTCCTCTGCACTTCATTGCTCCCAGTCCTTAACAGGTTCTTTCATAGGAGTTACACCACCCTGGAAATGTCCTTTTGCACACCTTTTTCCCCTACTATTCAACCGTCAAGGGTAGAAAACCAGTTTTTTTCACACCTGCAGCTCCAGGGCTTAGAGTAGCATTTCAGCCTGGCCTGTGCTGAATGCTTTTGGCTTAATGTATCTCAATTCCCCTCCCTTTTCACCTATTCCCCTATGCAAACTGGTCATAGCTGGAGAACTGCAGAGAACAGTCTAGCAGAGAAAGAAGGGAAGGGAGATAAAACAAAGACACAGGAGAATGAGAAGACTGCAAAATACAACCACTACACGTTACTTGCATCTATTTCTAAAGTTACTAACAGGAGTACTAAATAACTGTTCACGCACACATATGGCAGAGAGGATTTCTTTCCAGCTGGTTTATCCTTTGTATTACACCAACATTAGACAAAATAAAAACCTAAAGAAAAATGTTTTCATGGTCTTTTCCACTTTCTTTCAAACAATGATACAGTCAATTACAAGAGGACACAGATTCTGTGTTTTGATCCACTCTAGGGAACTGAGAGGCAGTACACAGTTCACACAGTACCATGTATATGGAAACCCAGGATAGAGTCCTGCTCTGCAACTAAGTAGCTTTGTGTCCTTGGACTTCAGTTTTTGCCTCTATAAAGTAAGAAGCATGATCTATATAATCTCCAAGGTTTCTTCCAGCTTTTTAATGGGATTCTAATAGCCAATTACATATATTCTGCACCATGCTCCTGACAACTCTACATGGATATTTATTAAATACATAGGAAAGTGCTCTTCCTAAGGACAGAGCTACTACAGTTATTCAAAACTATCATTAGTAAAATTATACTCCTTTAGGTCATGTTATTCTTAAAAAATACATTTAGTAATATATATTAGAAACAGATTTAGTAACATACAATACATTAATATATTTTCTGGATGATATTATTTAGTAATTAGTAATATTTATAATAGAAGCTAAGTCACTGAATGCTCAACTGTTCTGCCTGTCTATATTGTCAAATTCAATCTTCATAACAATTTTAAAACATAACTACTATTACTTTGAGGAAACTGAGGCTCAGAGGGTTAAATAACTTGATTATGGTAAACTACAAACCACAGTCCTAGGATTCAAACCTAGGCAATGTGACTCCTAAGTTCCAGCCAATGTGCAATCTTTATATATTTTACAGTATTCCAGATCTTAAAATACATCAGCATATCTTCTTTTTATTTAATAATGTGTTCTTGGCATAAACAAAATCAAACCAAATTGAAAAGTCTGGACACAGGAAAAAATATACAAACTTAACTATGATGTCACCACCATGGCCACCAGGTGGCAGTAGCACAACAGTGAAAATAGTCCACATAGGGGAAAATAGCCATTTCAGAAATTAAAATGATGGTCTAAGACTTAGTTAAGGAGATCTCTGTTTTTTAAAAAAAAAGGTGGGAGGGGCTTCCCTGGTGGCGCAGTGGTTGAGAGTCCGCCTGACAATGCAGGGGACACGGGTTCGTGCCCCGGTCCGAGGCCCGCGTAACGCAAAAAAAAAAAAAAAAAAAGTGGGGATGGGGTGGGGAGGAACCAGTAACATTCTCTGTGGAAAATAATCTTACTAATATATAATGATCTTTTAACAATACTTTCACCATCTCCTCGAGCAGCTGACAAACACCATCATTTCTCATTCCTGAGGATCAGGTAAATATCAAGGACTCAGATCTTCTGTGGACTTTTCTCATCCGAGTTTCTCATAGCTATATCACTGACTCCTTTCCTAACCAACCTGACCCTCATTCAGCTCCATGCACTACACCACTTGCTTTCTTTTTTGCCTGTGCCATGTGGTAAGTATATAAAATTTATTCTTTATCCAAATAAATACAAATTTAAGCAATTACTGTTTGATAATCTGCTACTCCTTGCCACTAACATGAAATGTTAATGTAGTTAAATGGAAACTGTGTAGCTCTACAATTGGTACAGGACACTCTTAGTCATTTCTGCAGTTAGACCAAGATATCAACGAACAGAAGTTATATTTAAAACTCTCGTTTCGAATGAAGGCTACTTTAAATCAGTGAAATCTAGAATAAAATGGTTAAAGGAAATACAGGCTTTTTCACCAAGTCTGGGAAGCAGGGAAAACATACTTTAAATCTTAGGAAAAAAGAATCCAAAGAGGTTACCTAGGGACTTCCCTGGTGGTCCAGTGGTTAAGAATCCGCCTTCCAATGCAGGGGACGCGGGTTCAATCCCTGGTCGGAAAACTAAGATCCCACAAGCTGCAGGGCAACTAAAGCCTGCACACCACAACTAGAGAAGCCCGCGTGCTGCAGCGAAGACCCAGCACAACCAAAATAAAAAAAAACAAAGAGGGTATCTAGTAATGGGCAAATCTTTGATATTCATTAACATATTGGAATTTAAGAGCTAGAAAGAACCCAAAGGACTCCAATTTAACCTCTTTATTTTACAGATCAGGAAAAATATCCAGAGTATGCACCCAAGATCAAATTACTCACAAAATGGGACACAGGAAGAAAATAAAAACTCTGGTTAGATATGTGTACTAAGAGAAGGAATATGCCTACTCATCAAGTCTCATTTAAAGGAAGATAACAATGCTTTGTCCCTTACCTGCCTTGGTGTTACTGTGATTACAAAGATTTATGGCTATGACAGATATACTATGACTGATAAACTGTGCCTGCTCCAATAAATAATCAATATCATTTATGACTGCCCAGAAAGGTTCCTGCTTAAATTTAAGGGAAAAAATTATCAGATAAAGTATCAAAGAAATTTTCCAAAATAAAAATGAAATTTTAAAACACTGTCCAAACTATGACTCAAAATCCAGAAAGAATAAGGGGCTAAAACTAAGAAATCTTAGTAGACAAAACTACACTTTTACATGGGAAAAATGCTGTAAGCAAAGCTGAAAGATAGATGACAACATTACTTGAAAGTTTTATCACAAGGGGTTAATTAACCAAATATATAAAGAGCTTCTAAGAACTGAAGGAAAAATAAAAATCTATAGAAAAATGTGCAGAAGGTATGAACAAAGAGTTCTCATAAAAAGAAATGCAAATGACCTTAAACATATGAAAACATGCTCAACCTTGTTTACAATAAGAGAAACAAATTTAAACTACACTGAGTTACCCTTTCTTCTGTATTAGATTAATGAAAAATTAAGTTTGAAAATGCACTCTGATGACAAGGCTATGGGAACAGGCATTCACATACACTGTAGGTAGGAATGCAAAACGGTACAACTACTATAGAGGAAATTTTGGCAATACTTAGCAACTGAAATATATGCATTTACCCTTTGATCCAACAATGCCACTTCTAGGAATCTATCCCAAACATATGTTGGCAAGAATACAAAACCATACATGCAGAAGGATATACACTGCAGGACTATTTGCAAGAGTAGGAAACAACACAAATGAATATTGATCCACCAATGGAATAATACTATGAAGCTGTGAAAGGGAAAATGATCTCTACATACTTCTATGGTGGGATCTACAGGGCATATAATATTAGATGAAAAAAGCAAGATAGAAAACAGTATATGCAAACCCGACTTTTTACCTATATATATTATATATATATATATTGCATAAATATAAATTATATATTATACATGTTATGTATAATATAAATGTCAGAATATATTAAGGATATATAATTATATATAAATATATATATAGTGTATTTGTTCTTCTGGAAGGACAAGCTCAAAGCTGGTAAATATGATACCTGTAAGGATGGGAAATAGTCAGGGTAGAGAAAACAGGAAGCTAAACTTGTCTGGATGTATACCTTAACAGCTATTTGTTTTATAGGCACTATGCTAATGTTTTATAATATAATGAAAGAAATCCAGTTGGAAAAAAAAAAGCAGTATTGAAAAATATTGGAAACAGGGGCTTCCCTGGTGGCGCAGTGGTTGAGAGTCCGCCTGCCCCGGTCCGGGAAGATCCCACATGCCGCAGAGCGGCTGGGCCCGTGAGCCATGGCCGCTGAGCCTGCGCGTCCGGAGCCTGTGCTCTGCAACGGGAGAGGCCACAACAGTGAGAGGCCCACGTACCGCAAAAACAAACAAACAAACAAAAATATTGGAAACAAAATGAAATAAATCAACTATCAATTAGATATCAAGTTGGCACCCTTACCATATAACAAATTGTTTCACTGGTTTTAAAATGCAACAATTTTACTGTACATATTCCAACTGGGATATATACTAAGGACAAAAACATACTATAGAGAAACCGTAAACATCACTCAGGAATCATATTGTTAATAGTAAAATTGGTATCATTAATTTGAAAGCATTATATATAATACAGAAAAAGTATGTTAATAGGCAAATGAGAAAAAGATACAAATATAAAATCAAGTGTTTAAAAAAAACTATGAAATAAAATTGGAAATAGCACTGTGAATTCTGGATATTTCTCTTTATAAAAAATGTACATATTTCCTAATTTTGGCCACTGTAAATCCTAAAACCAGTGACCAATCTAGTAGCAAGAGTACCTTCAGCACCCAGACTGGTCTCTAAACACCATCTCCCACTGAAAGGAACCAGGGCTTCTTGGTGGCCAGAAATGTTTAAATGAGCCAGGAACATGTTTTACCAGAAAATAAGGAAACTCTCAAAGATTACTGGTCGTATCGAAGTGGACAGAAGCCAACTTAAATAGGCTGCCACTCGCCAACAACAGGACAACTTGAGTACCCCCCCAACAAAAAGACTGCAGTAGGTTGAAACAGTTTAAATATATTTAAGTCTATAATTTCATGATGATAAAAAAAAAAAGGCAAAACCCTCATGGTTACCTTTGAGGTTGCCAGGCCACCAACTTATTACTGTGCTCTGAAAATAGAGGGAAAGAATTAAGCATTTTTCTTGCCTTTCCTATACAAACTGTATTTCAAATAGCTGGTGGGGTAGTCAAATAGCTGGTGAAGTAAAAAGTTCTTATTCATAAAAAATTTCCAGCTAATAAATGCTGAGGAATGACAGAATCAGAAAATCACCGTATTGCAACCACCGATGCAATAGTGGATACAGGCAACCTAAATCCATGAAAGGATCTCACCATTAAGTGAAAGGCTCATGGAGAATTTCATGATGGATGGACTGGGCTGACAACACCTGAACCCACTATGATGCTCAATTTTAAAATCACAGAGAGAAAACTCAGACATCATGTGCCTCTCTGGAGTGTTTTGCACCACCAATGAAATTTTGCCCTGCCCTCACCCCCACAAAAAAAGTCAAGGTTGAATCTGATCAATCTTCTAGACCAGTGCTGTTCAACAGAACTTTATGCAATTATGGAAATATTTTACATATACACCAAACTATTGGGCCCTTGAAATGTTGCCAATGCAACTAGGGAACTGAAATTTTTAGCTTTATTTCATTTTAATTCATTTAAATAGCCACCAATGGCTGATAGCTACTATATTGGACAGTGCATTTCTAGACCTTACTACCAGTTTAGAGGGAATAAAGGGAATAGATGTACAAGTTAAAGGATACCATGTGGATGCAATCAACTAAATCTAGAATGTTAAGGGAAAAAAGAGAGGCAATGAAACTGCTATATTAAAAAAGACTGAAAAGGTGTTATCAACTCAATGCAACACGTGGATCTCTACGAGATTTTGATCCAAACAAGCTACTTATAAAAATACATGTATGGGACAGGTGGGGAAACCTGAACCCAGACTGAATATTAACATTATGGGATTTTTATTAATTTTCATAGATGTGATGACAATACTGTGGTTTTGTAAAACTGAAAACACAAACTTAGTTCTTGAAGAACAAAAACCCAAAGTAACATAAAAACCGAAAATTCAATTCCTGAAGCCCAGGTCAATGTTGGCTTTAGCTGAATTTCAAATCAAGTTGACATATGTTTAGAAGTAGGAAGCTCTGATAAAGTGGACCACTGACGCTGTCACCATCTGCCACCACTACTACATAAGTGAGAACAGGAAGGAACAAGCAAAGGTGTTCTACCTTTTAATGGGAGACAAGTGGCATCAGTACAATTAACATATACAATAACTACAAATAATTGTTAAAACCTGAATACATTTTAAAGAGCAGTGTAACTGAATGTTTATAAATATCTAACCCACTTTAATTTCAGTCATTCTTACCATACTGATCACTGGTAATGATATAGTCAAAAGGCAAGAAGCTCAGGATAAAAATCAACCTAAAGATGATACTGCATTCCAAATAAGAAAATACATACCCTTTGTTATATCATTAAGCTACAGCTATGATCAATATAAATAAAAATATTTGAAGGTAACATGTAGTTAACGATCCTTATGATTTCCTCTTCGTATCTAGAAAATAAAATTAAATGCAAGCATGTGGGGAACTGTATAAGTACAGGGCACAAATCCTACAATACTGCTTTTATTAAAGGAAGAAAAAAAAATTTAAGACTGGCTTAGGAATCGTCTGTAAGGCTCAAGGAAAACTACTCTGCAAGTAAGAGTGCTGTTAACTGTAAACGATGACTAGTCGCTGAGAGCAAGCTCATCTTTACCCTGATGTTGTAAGTCATTAAAAAAACAAAACAACACATTATGAGCCGAGATTTACTGCCTTCAAATACCTTCATGATTAAAGTATTCTAAGAACCCGTTCCTTTTATTCCCTTACTTCATTATCTATTTCCCATCCCTGACTTGAATGGAGCAATCCAAAAGTTCAGGGTCCCCCAACTTCAATCCTTCATGATTTCTGCCACATTTCAGTACCTAATGTACTAACATTAAGGTTTTTAAGTCAACTCACTTTTTACAACTTGCTAAACTTCCCACCCATAAATGAACCGCTATCACCTGCCATCAAAGACCTAAGTCTCAACAATGTTAGGAAGCTAACCAGATGAGGCGGCCCAGGCGGGAGGGCTGGGCCGGGGGTCTCTCCCCTGAAGTGGAAGACTGGCCCGCGGCCGACTCCGCTCGGGGAAGATGAGTAGCTCGCCCACCCCGCAGCCCTCCCGCCGGCCCGGCCTCCGGGGAAGGGCTGACCACGTGGCTGGGCCGAACAGTGCGGTGGGGGAGGCCATATCTGGCTTCGCGGGTCCGCAGCGCGTCCGCTGCGAGGCCGATTGGTGGGGCGCCGGGGCGGGCCCGGGCCGGCGGGGGCGAGCCTGGAGGCCAGCGGGCCGCTGAGGAAGCCGGCCCCAGGCCATACGACCGCACTGGCCGCGGCCCCACCGCAGCCAGAGCTGCCTGTGGACACTGCCGCGCCTCTCTCGTCCGACGTTCCCACATGCGGTTATGGGGATGCCGCGAGCGCGCCCCCGAAGCTTCCCGCCGTTACCTCCGGCCGGGGGCGCGCACGCGCGTCACCGCCAACCTAACGTCCAGCCACAGTGTCTGCACGTTCGTTCCGCCCACTGCCCCCTCACTTTTAATTGAAGCAACATCCTCCCTGACTCCCCCTCCGCGCCTGCAAATGGGCTCACCCATATCTGGGGATCGGAGAGAAGACCGTGTCGATCACGTGACACTGAGAGGGTGGTCCGCTGGAGGCGGGCGCCGCGCTGGGCCGGGTGCTGGTAAGGGTTTCCCGCGCCCCTAGCCTAGGTCTTGGAGAAGCGGGAGCGCGTTCGGACTTATGCTGCTCCTGTTGGCCGAGGCCGTTCTCTTAACCTCATCCTCATAACCACTCCCCTCACCGCACCTTGGGAGGGGTGGAAAGGGACTTGCGCGGCGGTCCTGGGCCTCCCCCGCTGCCGCATTTGGTATATCCTGCCTCGGGCCGGAAGCCGCGGCTGTGGGGCCGCCTCCCACACCTGTACGGATGGCGGTGGCCTGCGAGGGTCATTTTTAGCGCGGGAAAAGGAGTTCTAGCTTTGCTGCTGTAACTACACGTTTGCAGAGCTCTAAAACAGAGATGGATAAAACTGCCCTGCCCCGGAGAACGTACGCACCGCCTGTCTGGGAAGACCCTGTGACGGGCAATGTAACAAGCTCCCGATGGGGACCATTCACTGCGCCCAGGGAACTATGGGGCCCGCGGAGGGGCGGGGACCGCGTTCTCCTTGGCGCTTAGAGAAAGTTCCTGCAGGAGGCGACCTGGGAGCTAAGTTTTTAGACTGACTGAGGGTTAGCTAGGGAAAAAAGGAACAAGATCGTGCATTCCAAGCATTGGGATAGTCACACGTGTAAAAAAAAATTTTGTTCAGGAAAGTGGTAATGGCTTGTTCTGGCAAGTGTGGCAAAGTGCTTGGGATGGTGGCCGTGTCCTGGTCATTGCACGCCTTATGCTATCCACCCTTCCAGCTCCTGAAGAGTGAAGGCACCTTAGCGCCTAATTCTGGAAATGGGATATTGACCCCGATGAGCTGACGCCCAACTTTGAGTTTGGAAGGAAGAGTAGGTATTAGTGATGGGGCAAAGAGAACTTTAAGTGCAAAGGTTGGAAAGTGTGACAGGGTTAGAGGTGTTTGGAAGAGGGACAGGTGGGAAAAGATTGAGGCCAGATTGGGGAAGGCTATGCTGAGTCACTGATACAAATTTTACACACAGCAATTGGAAACAGTAATGCCTGAGCAATCAGTCATAAAGCCGACCTAACTTGTTTAGTGGATCATAAGGACAAGAAGGAACCGGTCAAGGGCAGAATGTGTGCTGAAGCTGGAGTGATCTGAGAAAACTTTACAGAAAGGTGGAATCTGTGTGTGACTGGGAAAATCAGCTGGGAGGGACTATGGTCTTATAAATAAACTGCAACCTGACCCAGATGAGATGAGTCTTTCCCAGGGTGATATCATGCCACAATTCACATCCAGGCTAAAAAGCCTGGAGAACCCTACTGCTAGATTACATCATCTCCTCAGTCTTCATGTTTAAGAAATAATCTTTTTGGCTTACAGATCTGGCAAGATCAAAGCTGCAGGAGAATGGACAGTGAGGTACAGAGAGATGGAAGGATCTTGGATTTGATTGACGATGCTTGGCGAGAAGACAAGCTGCCTTATGAGGATGTTGCAATACCACTGGTAGGCTGTAATTTGTGCTGAGGGTGATAGGTTAAAGGTATGATCTGGTAGACCCTAGTAGGGGTAGGATATCAAGACAAATAAACTAGTAAGGCAAAGAAATCAAAGCTGTGGAGTCCTCTAACTCTAGAAGCTTCTGGAGAACACTTAGCTTGACTTTGAAGAGAAATGTGGTTCAGAGGGCTGACGTGACCAGCTCAGTTAGGGGATCATTCCAGAACTAGAACCCAGGTCTTCTGAGCCATGTTCTGTCTACCACACCAAAGCTAGTAAACTGGATGATGAAAGTTTAATGCACACAATGAGGAGGAATAAGAAGCAGTGGCATATGCACTTTATTTCTTCTTTACCTGTGGTTTGTCAGTTGACATTTTTAGAAACTCACATTTTTGGAACACATACCTATTCTAGGTTCCCTGGAAAATATTTGGAAGAGAACTGGCTTTTCTTCTTTTGCATTTAGACCATCACGCTCTTTTCTTTCCTGACCTCTGGAAAATTCTCCTGCAATGAGTTTGTTAAACCTAACGTAATAAGTGACCTAAACATTTTGCTTGAATAAATATTTATTAAAAATCCTATTTATGTCACAGAGGACTAGCAAGGAGAACAGAGACTGTTTTTCTTTAGAGCCTGCCAATTGCAAAGAGCCATTAATAAAATAGAGCTTGCAGGCAGACCATGTGCTGCTGCCATTTACATTTTCATCTAAGAATAAGAGGTAATATGTTCAGTGAATAATAAACATAGCAAATAACAAGTAACAGCTTAGTTCAAGTTTAGAAAAATAGTCAAAAGAGCATAATGAGAATTATAGTTCCATTTATTGAATACCTGTTTTGTGTCATAGACCAAGGTTGAAATCTGACATACATTATCTGTATCCTTAAGACACCCTTCAAGGGTGGTTGTGTTCTGCCCACTGTATAGGAAGGAAACAGAATCAAAGAGGGGAACTTGCCCAAAAGTTGGTAGCCAATAAGTTGGACTTCACACCGAAGTCTGTGAGGCTCCAGATCCTGTCCGGTGGTGGTTCTTTCATTCCGCAAGCAATTCTTGAAGCCTACTATGTGCCTTAAGACTTGGTAAACGTAAGTACAGTTTCTGCCCCTCAGAGTCTAGAGAGGCAACATATATCAATAAATAATTGTAATAGTAAGTGTTCTAAGTGAGGGTTGTGAACAGCTATGTAGTGTAAGAAGTGGCTGATTGCCTGGTGGGCATCGGGAAGGACTTCAGAGAGATAAATCACATTTGAGCTGGTCATAGGGAGGAAAAGAGGTTTAGTGAGGGTAGACAGGGGCCAACCAGCAGAGGGGACAGATGTGCAAAGGCTCAGAGTTTTAAACTGCTTTGGGAGATGGTGAGGCAATTCAGTGTGGATGGAGGATATACTTCTCATAAAAGGTAGGGAGAAAAGTTGGTCTTGGACCCAATTTTGAGAGGAGCATTTGATGCCATGCTTAGCCCTCATCCTGAGGATATCCAGGAGTGAGTGGTCTCCAAAGTAGAGATCTGCCACGCTCAAATATATTAGAAAATCAGTTTAGCAGCATTGTTAGAGAATGTGTGTCAAGGAGAAAGGGGCCAGTGACAGAGCAAAGAGACCAATTAGAAAGCTAATGCAGTGTCTAGACAAGGGAGGAGGACCTAAACAAAAGCAAGAAAGTGGAGGGGAATTGCTGAATTCTGGACATACTAATAGCAGGATTTGGGGACCATTTGTGTGGAAGGGGTTGAGGGAGAGGAAGATTTCCATGCTGACTTCCAAGTTGTAGCCTGGCCCTGTTGCTAATCTGTGTTTTTTCCCAGGACTTGTGATTCTAAGGCAATGTTTGTGTCATTAGCTTTTGTTGCTGCCTAACAAATAACCCCAAAACATAGTGGCTTAAAACAGCCGTTATTTATGTCGTGATTTTGTCATTCAGCTGAGAGAGTCTTGTGATCTTTGCCAGCTCGGTTGATCTCTGCTGGACTTGGTGGTGTTTTGCAGTCGGCCAGCAGGCTGGCTGGAGGCTGGGATGATGAGCTGACTAGGCCACAGTCTCATGATCCTGCAGATTAGCCCAGACTTCACAATCATTTTAGGGTTCTAAGAGCAGCATGAGAGGAAACTGCAAGGCTTCATGGAGCCTAGGCCAAGAAGTCACATGATCAGTCCCAATGCAAGATTGGGGAAATAGACAGTGCCTTTTCATAGGAGTGGCTACAAAGAATTGTGGCCATTTTTGCAGTACCCCACAATAGATGATTGCTATGTTCACGATACTTTATGATACTTTGTGTTTGTTTTCCAGGCATATATGCAATTTTATATGTTGGCATTCATTGCAAGAGACAATAGTGACCAAATGAAAAACGTGTTATTTTAGAACAAGATGAAATTAAATAATATCTGAATTAAATAATTGATTAACCAAGGACTTGTTTATGCTTTGTCAGCTGTAAGTAGTTACTGAAACAAAACTTTCTCTTTGCGATATTGCTTTAGAGAAAATGGTAGTTCCTTTCAATTTGTACAAGTATGTTTGAATCTGAGTATTTGTAGAGCAAGATGTGATTCAAACATACTTGTACATATTGTAATTAAATCATTTTATTCATATTGAACATCACTTTGAAGGAAAAAAGTTATTATATTCATATACTGCACATTGGAGTCCAGTGGGAAATCATAAGTCTAGATATTGAATAATAGTTTGCTACCCTTAAAAAAAAGTCGGACTTCCATGGTGGCGCAGTGGTTGAGAGTCCGCCTGCCGATGCAGGGGAAGCGGGTTCGTGCCCCGGTCCAGGAGGATCCCACATGCCGCGGAGCAGCTGGGCCCGTGAGCCATGGCCGGTGAGCCTGTGCGTCCGGGGCCTGTGCTCCGCAACGGGAGAGGCCACAGCAGTGAGAGGCCCATGTACAGCAAAAAAAGTCTAAATTCAGATAACTGAAAAGAAATATATTGGTATCAGTGAATTCTAGTACGAAACAGAGTTCCAGTAGTAATAAATTTAAATTTAAAATACAAGGAAACTATCAAAAACTTCTCACCACACGCCAAAAAATGGTGAACTGTGCAAGGTGATGGATGTGTTAACCTTATTGCAGTAATCATTTCACAATATATATGTGTATCAAATCATCACATTGTACATTTTAAACTTACACAATGTTATATGTAAATTAAATCTCAGTAAAGCTCGAAATATATAAAAAAATTCCCCAGATTCTACACTAAGTGTGGCCCATGGCTTACCATTTTAAGAAAGTTGCGGGTAGGCTATGTTGTTTTATGTTGCCCTGCTCCACCACTAGGGGGAAGCCTCATCTATTGTGTTACATTTTCAGTGCTCCTACCTCCATTATAATATAGGCACATTGGATACAGGATCGTTGTTGAATACCTTTCTTGTGCTTAAGGAACATGCCAGCAAATGTGGTATTCTATAAAGCAGCCTTCCCAAAAAAAGATTTAGTACTGGCTCTTTTCAGTGTTCCTAGCCACTAGTAAGGATGACAGTTAGTCCTTGCACTGGATACCCCATGCAGTGCTGGGCACCTGACCTGCATTTCCTCATTTAGCCCTCACAGCAGTCCTGTGAGATGGTGACTACTTTTTTCTCTCGTTGCCTAAGAGGAAGCAAAGGCTGCAAGGGTCTGAATACCTTGCCTGAGTAACCCAACAAATGGTGGAGTCATGGCCTTGGATCCCAGTGGCTCCCAGAAGCCTGTGTCCTGAGCCTTCTGCCACGCTGCCTGCCACACAAGTACCAGAGTCATAATGCCATCACTCCCGGCTGGAGACGGATGAGGCACGTTTGAGCGAGGCTTGTGATGTTTCCTCACATTTTTTATTTTCTAGCTATTTCCATAGGATATGCTTCTATGCTGCCTGTTTCTAGGAACTCACAGGTTTTAATTCCAAGTGCTTTTGAGTTTTAAGGGGTTTGTTAACATAGAGTGTGACATCGTCCTGAATGTCCATTGTACCTTTTCAGAATGAGCTTCCTGAACCTGAACAGGACAATGGCGGCACCACAGAATCTGTTAAAGAACAAGAAATGAAGTGGACTGACTTGGCCTTACAGTACCTCCATGAGAACGTTCCCCCCATTGGAAACTGACGCCTGGCTCCTTGTTCATCCACAGATTTTTTTTAAATACACAGATACAAAATGTTTTCTTTCAGCCTCCTAATTTGAGTCTTTTAGTGTTAGATCAACGCTCAAAAATGTACAACTAATTTTGTGGCCACAAAATGCAGTGTGAAAATACTCAACCCGAACCAGAAGCTGATTGCGATTTCTTGGGATTGCAGAATATCTGGCCCTTTGAACCTAAAGTTCTTCATTGACTAGCTAGTATTTGAGCATGATTGATTAAACATTTGCCTTTAACTCTGATTTTGCTTTACTGTCAGAGTTTAACGCTTCCCAACTACTTATATATGTCCTGTGACACAGGTGATTGAAGGTATGAGAGGGAAAGGCGAAGAACAACGAAGCCAGACATGAGAATTAACTTCTCATGTACCCCCATTCTGAGAATCATCTGAGTGGGTGTGTGTGGAGTCTGTAGATGTAATGGACGTATAGATGGCCCATTCACTGACTACTGGGATTCCTAAGATTCCCCATGATATTTTCAAACTTTGGATAAATTTACAAATTAAAAGCTATCTTGACCGTTAACCCCTGCTCTCCCTACAGCTTCCTTTGGTGCCGCTAGAAAGGCGAGATAGACCATTAGTTTTATCCAGTAACAGGATTTCTTATTTTCTCAAAGCCCTTTCAGATATAACTGAAGCACCATGGAATCAATATTTAGTTGCACATTTGTGAAATAACTTGTATTTTGGAAAACGCCTTGATGGACATTATCTCCTAGAATTCTTTGCCTGTTTTATGTGGTATCTCTTTTATTCTCTCCCCAGATTGTAAATTCTGTGGGAAGAGGCCCTGGCTTTTACATCTGTATCCCTCACTGAAAAACTGGAAACACTGAATAATTGAAATTTCTCTTCTCATCGTTTTTTTAACTGGGTCATTTTATTTACATACCTTTTAGGAGTAGGAAGTGTACTACAAAACAAATGAGCCGATTTTAGGGTTTCGATCAGAAACATGGTTGTAACAACTCACCTGACATCGAGACACACCCAGGCTGATCTCCCTGTGGATCAGTGACTTGCCTAGAAGTCATTTATCTCAGAATAAAGACCCCAAGTCAGCAGCCCCTCAATAACTGAAGACAGACAACCCAGTAGAAAAGAGAATTACGATGTTCAAAAAAAACATTTTATACCGAAAGAGAACAAAGCTTTTCAAAAAATTAAAGTACCTAAAATTCCACAGTTCTTCCATGTTCTAGTTAAATGAGGGCTTTACTACAACTTTATTTGTGGTGTATAATACCTAAAACACTGACATCTGGATATTAGGAGATGTTCATATGAATCCATCCATGCTTGTGGACCCAGCCTTTCCCAGGGGTATTGGTGGAACAGTAAATATGAAAGCTGTCTGGATTTCAGCTGAATCAGAATTAGGCTTGTAAGACAGGCAGCTGTTGGTTTATCTGCTTGGCTTGTGACCCTTATCTGAGAACTGCCCCCACGCCAAGTTTGTGACCTGTGATGTGGTGACAGCCATAGCTCATGTGAGGAATTAGGTGACAAATTCTGGGCCAAATTGTCAACTGCAGCTTTGGAATCTGCCCATCTAGGACTGGCTTGAGGATCATGGGCACAAGAGATGCTAGGCTGCCATTGTAGGGTGCCTTTTCAACCTTATGTGCCAGAATACCCAAGGAGGAAAGTGTCTGCAGAGGGAGGCTCAGAGGCTGTGTCCCTGTAGCTTTCCAGTTGGTTCCTGTGCCTTTGATCCTGTAACTTTCGAGTTCAAAGCATGTGTGTTGCTCTCCTCTATGGGAGGCGCCTCACTTGGTGCTGAGAATATGGCAGTGAACAAAATAAGTATGGCTTCTGCCTTCATTTAGTGAGGGAAACAAGCATTAAACCAATAGACATACAAATCTCTGATTTTAAATTGTGACACATGCTAGGAAGAAAAAATAGAAGATGCCCCTTAGGTTCCTGGAAGCAAAATCTGAAGCAGTTTCTTGTGCAAGGAATTTATTGAGATTGTGCGCTCAGGAGAAATCTGTGAGGGAAGCAGGGTAGGGCAGGGGGAGAACCTGAGCAAAGATGTGGCTTCAGCTGGAGTCTGGCCTCTGCCTGATCCCACAGGAGCTACAGAGCACCATGTTACCAAGAGTCTTCCCACCTTGAAGCAAGATCCTAGGCCTTCGCGTTGAGTATGCGGTGGTCAGCCATTGGCTCTGCCCTCCCTCCGTCCCCCAGGGAGGGCATAACCAGGCATTGCCAGGGGCCAGGGCTCTCCAGGGAACAGTGTATCTCCTGGCAGCCAACACAGTCAGGGAATGGGTGCACAGACAGATGGGACAAAGGGGATCTGGGCCCCAGCACTGACTATTGCAGGGTATAGGGAGTATGACTGGGGACCTGATTTAGATTAGATAATCACAGCAAAACTTTGTGATAAGTAGCTTTTATAGCACATAATTTCAAATATATTGTATTTGAATTTTTTCCATTGTCCAAGGCAGCGGCCAGGTCCTTAGTGCTTCCTGTTCACAGCAGAGAGCATGTGCTCAAAACCAACCCTACCCCCTTTAGGGGAGCAGGGGAGGGAGGAAGAGGAGGATCCTCTTAGGAGTAGTGGAAGTCTGTGCCCCAGTGGCTGGTGATACCCAGGGAGATGGTGAACTTCAGAAGCTCGTGGTTTGGGGGTGCCCCAAAGGATACCTGAAGTCAACCTGAGTCTCCCAGCTTGGGCAAAGACACCCTAGCACTGGAACCACCTCCTTCAAGGGCCCCTCAGAGTTGACAGTGAGGATAGCAGCAGGGACGCAGATGGAGTGGAGAGTAGAGCTCCTCGCCCAATTTCAAGCTCATTTATGAACATCCTAAATGCTTGTGAGACCCTGAAAGAGGAAAGGATGCCTCAGGGACCACAGATCTAATTTCTCCTGCAGCACAGCAGAATGGAGCCGAAAAGATTTAATTTGCTCTGAAGAAAATAAGAAAACATGATATTTCCTGTACCCTCCTTGAGTTTGTGGGCCAACACCTGATGGATGGGTAGGAGTAGCCAGGGGAAGAATTAGGGGGTGAGGATTGATGGCCAAGAGCAAATTGCATAAAGCTCAGAGGTGGAGCTGGCATCCCGAACAAGGTGGGTGGGGAGGCAGGAGGAGGTAGAGGAGTGGCCTAATCAGGTTTTATTTTTTTTAACCTTTTTTTTTTTAACCTAAGTCACTCTGGGTTTGAGCAGGTAAGAACAGAAGTGGAAAGACAGAAGACCTTTGCCTTGGCTCAAGTGAGGGATGATGATGGCTTGAACCAGCAATATGGGGGTGGCAGTAGAGGGACTTGGAGTACCTTAGAGGTCGTTGCCCACAAGTGCCAGGTGAGAGGTGTGTGTCATGAAGCCAGCACCCCGGATGGTGGTTGTGTGGTTCAAAAGAGACTCGGGTGCCCAGTGTGAGTGCTAACCTGTGACCAAGGGGGAAATTCTCTGAGCCAGACACACGACTCTGGGTGCAGCCTCTGTCCTCTAGCAAATGGAGAATCTGGTCCAGAAGCTGCCCATCCTTTGAAGTCCAACTTAAACCCACTTCTTACTAATATAGTAACAATAATACAGTTAACTGAGTGCTTCTTTGTGTTTTAGACGCGTGACCTCCAGCCCTCATGTCCACTTTTTAAGGTGGATATTATTGCCCTCATTGATCAAGTGATGGCAGCTTAAAATTGAATAATTCATTCCAAGTTAAAGTCACTCAAATAGTAAATGGGTTCCATCCTAGGCTGTCTGATCCTAAAATCTGTGTCCTCTTCCTGGACCACGTGATGTCCCCTGAAAAACCTTCTGTGACCACTGCATTCTGAAATGGGAAGAAAATCCTATTGGATCATTTAGAACTTCCAAATGTTTACCTTCTTTTACAATTGAGATTAAAAAAACTGAAAAATTTTTGCTAGGAACCTAGGAGTCATGAAACATTTAAAAATTCAACCTATTACCAAACCTATATATAATTCATATAACTCATAATTTTACCACCATGAGTCATGTTGTTGTCACTGGTTTGTGTACGAGGTCAAATCCCTAAGATGTGTTTTCAGATTTTGGTGCTTTGACAGTTTGATGTCAATGCTACTTAGTACCCAGCAGGAGGCGCTCAATTCCTTTAAGAAAGTCAGAATTGCTGGCGGAACTTTAAGTAAACTCTAACTCAAGGTCCTGAATAAATGTGGTTTTTGCTTGGGAGCGATTCTGCATATCTGGATTCCCAGTGTGTTGGGTAAGGGTTTGTGTGAGTCCCCGGAATTTTGGCTGGCCACACATGGACTGGACAGCTCACCTAGTGGGCTTCTCACTCCCACTCTGTGGGGGGCCAAGAGGGCACATGGAAGGTGCGGGGAGTTCAGAATTTGGGTTACAGAAAAAGGTAGCCAGAATCGGGGGTTTTGCCCACCTGTGACCCCAGCTTATAGACATAGTCTGGCCTGGGGACTCTTTACTATGCCGTTTCCCAGCTCTTTGTGTTAAGTTATTTGGAGATGTTAGGTACCATCCTGGAATGATCTATTAGACTCTAGAAAGACTGTTTGTTTCCCAAATCTTCCTCCATGATGTGGCCCTGCCACGGTTAAATTCATCCCCCAGTCCATTGCCACGCTGCACCTCATCCATGGGCTCCTCTGGGAAGTACTGGGGGAGGTTAGGGGCTGGCGGGGAAAAGCAGCTGTGCCATCTCTTGAGAGGACTTCACGTCTGTGGCCTTCCTGGCCTTGGCCTCTGCACCTGAGCCAACCAGGACTGGCTTCGTGAGCACACAACCTGTGCAGACATACAGGCCCTGCACGCAGAAGGCCCTGCTGTGGCTCTGTTGAAACCAGTAATCATTTTTGAACAAGTAGCCCACATTTTCATTTTGTACTGGGCTCTGTAAATTCTGTAGCTGGTCCTTGGCAGTCATCTGTAGGGGTTCCACCTTGTTAGTGAGAATTCAAGACACCATGAGTATCGGCCTTTGGGGTGATAGAAAAGCAGGCAGGTCCGGGAAAAGGAAGAGAAAAGCTGGTGCAGACCTCCAGGCTTGCTGCGGAGTCCTGAAATGTATTCTGGCTCCTCAGCAAATCCTACAAGTGCAGTTGCTGAAATTGTTTCCTGAGCTCCTCTGTCATTCTTGCTGCCTGATAGCTGACCCTGGGGTGAGGGGTATGTATAGAAATGCTAGAAGTGCAGCAAGACAGATTTTTGTGGATGGCTAAGAGAACCTGAAGGGAGATGATCACCCAATCCCAGGC